AAGAAAAAAGAAAGCAAGCTTAGTTCTCAATATTTGCTATATGTTATGATCTTACACAAAATAAAGTAGTTCTTTGAATATTTATTTATTTATTTATTTGTGTGTGTGTGTGTGTGTGTGCGCCCAGCTCAGCCCACCAGGGGGCGGGGCTGGCTGGCATGTGGTGCTGGGGGATTGAACCGTGGTCCCTGTGCTTTGTTAAGCTTGTTCTAAGTAGGTGCTTTAGACCACTGAGCCATCTCACAAGCCCCGTTAATCTGTATTTTTGTAGCTTCAAAATTCCATTGAAGATTTTGGGGGCTGGGTTGGGTGTTAGGGTATGTGCTTCTCATGTGTGAGACTTGGGGCCCAGCCCCATGGGCCAGTGGATAGACAGCTTGGAGTTAGTCATACACAGCTCTACACTCACTCTGTGTTTTTCAATTCAGGGACCAGAACAAATACAAAGATGCAGCTAATCTCCTGAATGATGCCTTGGCCATCCGTGAGAAAACTCTGGGCAAGGACCATCCTGCGGTTCGTATACCTGGCTCTTTCAGTCTTTTACATTTTATATTCCCCAGTATATTTTTGCCCAGCTCATCCCAGTGTCAAATTTAACAGGGAGGGCCTGGCAGCTGCCTGCTCCCAGCTGGCACAGGTAGGGCTTTGTCCATGTGGGCAGTGACTGCCGCGGCCCGCAGCTCTGCTGCTCACTGTGCCAGTTGCTCCTGATTCATGAGAGCTCCTCTGTGAATGGACCACCACCCGCACCAAATCAGACTGCATGTCACGTTCTAGATTGGTTTGTTGGGAATTTGCATTATTTTTAATGAAAATCTGATCTGATTTACCCATAGATCTTTTTTGATTGGCTTTGTTGCTTTCAGGGAAATTTAAAAAAATCAAAATCATGTTGATACTGATCTATTTAGTCTTAGAACTTGGTGTTGCAGCACCGCTTGTGGATTTATCTTGCAGCAGGCTGTGCTGGTCCTTTGACCTGAAGTCACCTTCTTGTCCAGTGACAAGTGCTTTAGTGCGCGCTGCTGCCTGTGGGTCTGTGGCACGCAGCTGCCTGTTGGGAAGTCTCACGGTCCTGTGGCATCCCTGTTGGCAGGTGGCTGCAACTCTGAACAACCTTGCAGTCCTGTATGGCAAACGCGGGAAGTATAAGGAGGCTGAGCCGCTGTGTAAGAGAGCCCTGGAGATCAGAGAAAAGGTATGAACGGCGGAAGATTCAGTTGCTGAGAGGTAGCATTTTGAGAAGCAGCACTCTGATGCCATTCGGAACATTCACTGAAAACAACTGATTCTGAAAGGTGGACAGCTCCCCAGACACAGTCGGGTGGTCCGTGTGCTCCTTGCTTGAGACCCGTGTTACAGCAGCATGTGTTCAGGGTGGCACATTCCCTGATGTGGAGTTCCATCGCTCTTGCTGTTCTTTGGGCGTGACATTGCTGGGGACAGTGACCTCACAAGGATATGTGTTTGTCAGTAAGGAAGATACATGTCAGTGTTTAAAAATAAGTTTACCACATATGCTTTATCAAAGTTAAGAAATGAGCTAGGCGTGGTGGTGCACGCCTGTAATCCCAACACTAGGAAGGCTGAGACAGGAGGATAGCCACGAGTTAGAGGCCAGCCTGTACTGCTTAATAAGATTCTGTCTCAAAAGAAAAAAAGTAATTATTTTTACAACTAAAGATTAAGTCAGAAAGATACCATGTCTGCATCTTGTATTATGAATAACTACTGCAAAGACAATATGCACTGCATTAATTATTGTAACTGTACTACTAACCTGTTTTGAAACTATCTCATTGCTACTTCTTTCTCAGTAAAATTATTTTTTTTTCCGAAACTGGGGATTGAACTCAGGCCCTTGTGCTTACCAGGGAAGCGCTTATTCCACTGAGCCATCTCCCCAGCCCCGAGTAAAATTATTTTTAAAAAAGATTAAGTCAGAGCTGTTGGTGCATCAGTGTCATGGATATTTTAATAGCAGCTGCTGTCTTCATGGTAACAGGCATTGAAACATTGTGACTTGGGGGGCTGGTGAGATGGCTCAGTGGTCTAAAGCACCTACTTGGAACAAGCTCTGCAAAGCACAGGGACTGCGGTTCAATCCCCCAGCACCACATGCCAGCCCGCCCCGCCCCCTGGTGGGCTGAGCTGGCCACACACACATAAATAAATAAATAAAAAAAAAAGAAACATTGTGACTTGGTTGGGTCAGAGCACTGGAAGTCACAGAGGCTTGGGTGTGACAGTTGGAATGAGGCCCCGTGCACAAATGACTCAGGGTTGTAGTTTAATTTGGCATTTTTCTTGATTGTTTGTGATACTGAGAGATTGATTACTTGATTTTGAGCCTATGGCAAGGAATTAGAAGATGAAAGCAGTTTATTGC